AGCTGCATCCTTACAAATTACTTTGAAATAACTGTATCAGAAGTTTGTTATCAAGGTCATCATGAACTATGCGATTCTCAAGAGTCCCTCTTAACTGACTCTCTCTCCCACTTCTCACCTACTTCCTTTAATTGCCTTTTTTTACATAATTGGAGATACTTGGCAAAATTAAGTACAGACTTGGGAAGCTATTATGGGAAGTATATATGCTCCTTGTGGAAAGCAAAAGTGGACTAGGAGTAAAGACCTAGGTTCTAGTCCCTGTTTTCCAAATATCTCACAGAATAACCCTGAACCAGTATTTTTATCTCTCTGGAGTTCAATTTATTTCCTTTGTATAATATACAATGAGAAGATTTCAATTAGATAAATTCTGAACCTGTCCTGTATTTTGTATATCTATATGACCAATTATACTGAAATAGCCTTTTTCAGCAAATATGAATTCTTGCTTTGGATGGGGTATAGAAGGCAGAAGAGTGTGCTAGGGAAATAAGCTGACTTAGTAATTGAAAGTGAAAAGGGAAAGAATGAGAGAAGGGCCTGCCACTGAGGAGGACAGAGTCTGAGGAAACTTTATGGTTTTACTTACGGTTACCTTCCACTAAGTACATAAAAACAAATTATGGAGATGTGACTATCTAATATATTATAATGAAAATACTCATCAGCTCTGCTTCACATGGTTTGTCAACTTTTCTTTTTAAATATGGCCCAGTCTTGTATAACGGAGCTCTGTTCTCAGCTTATATATAAATTTGATTATCGGTTTACTGTCCCAAAGTCTTCTTAATCTTATTTGTTCCTTAAAGGAGATTTTAAAAAGTGAGAATGGTAAAATCAAAAGTGAAAAATCCACAACAATGTCGATAACAAGAAGCAGCCCTCAAAATGCTAAACCAAGGATGTATGTGGACAGAGAGTGTCCCATAAGTAATAAAATATTTTTTAAAAATGGCAAAGAGCAGATTACATTATGAAGGACTTCGCAAGCAAGAGTCAAGGACCTGAAGAGCATCCTGTGGACAATGAAATGCCATAAGAGATTTTTAAAACAGAGCAAGTGGCTCTATCATATCTGTTTTTGAAAGATAACACTCATGGCAGAGTACATACTATATTTACAAAACAAAGTATAAAATTCCCATGTAGGCTGATATTTTACCACAAAATAGTAACATGAAATTTGAATAAAACACTCACTCATTGAAGCCATGAAATAAATTTCACAAATGCTACAGTATTCTTAAAGAAATTAACAGGGGGTTATGCCTTGCAAATTCCTTAGGTGAGTAAATAATCACACATTTTTTAAAAACTCTCTTTTTTAAAAAAAGTCCTCACACTATATATTTATACCTTTTTCAAATTAAATTAACACTTTAAGTAATACTTATGGGCATTAGGGCCACGGAATTTTTAAATATTTACCTAACCATTTAGAAAGCACTTAGCACTTAAGGTATAGAAAAATATCTCACACACTAACTTATGCCTTTCAAAACCTTGTATTTACCTAGTCAGACACAAAGTGATCTCATTGAAAAGCTGAAAATTGCACTGTAGAATATGCAATTAAAATGGCATAGAAATATAGTTCCTTCAATTCCACTCAAAGTTTCTATGCAGACAACTAATTTTTAAAAATTCCTATTAGTTTCAGCTGCTTCTTGGCAGACAGACTACAAAATCAGTGCTTCTTTCCATTAACCCATCAAAGCAGAACACCTTTAGCAGTAACTAGATTTGGGCTTCAAATCTCTAAATGCGTTGCTAAAAAAAAAAAAAAAAATTAAAAAATAATTTAAAAACCTTAGTTAAGAACTGAACTGACACATATACAGCATTTAAATCAAATATTATAAATCTAATTATTAAATCAAATGTTTTACAAACAGGTGCCATTATTTTTCAACACAGTAATATAACATCCCAGAAGTTAAAAATTACTTTAAATCCATTCTTTTACAATTAAAAACATTTCTATTCATAAAATTTAAGTGGCTTTCAAAGAGGTTAATAAAAATGTTTAGCTTCTTAAGGAAATGAAAGTGTAATAATTTTGTTAACATCCTAAAAATGAACCCCCATATACTTTTTTAAAGTTCTATCCAAAATCTACTGGATACTTGCCACCTTTTTCAATTATCATACCTTGGAAAATATAGGTTAGCAAGGTCAACATTCAACATATAAGTACAACTTCAAGAATTACTGGTTTGTGACATCTTAACTATATTTTTATTTCTACCTTACCAAAAGTATAAACTAAAAGAATTTAATTTTAAAATTACAAGGTATTATATAACTTAATTTTAGAATTAGAAGGTCTTACAGAATTCATCTACTAGGATCCCTTGATTTGACGGTATACTAAGATTCAGAAAGGTTCACTGACTTTTCTAAAATTACAAAGTTAAGCCAAGACTCCACAATCCTCTGCCTATGAATCCAGGACTTTTTCCCCTATGTCAGGTACTATCTAAAATCTTTTCATCTTCCCTCACTTTCTGAAGGAAGAAAGTGTTTCTACAATTGTCATATACAACACTTTGAAAATTAGGAAATCTCCTGATGTTTTACTCCCATAAAAGTACTGATTTCCTCTAAATATCTTTAACATAATATATATGCATACAAAAAGCACAAATCCACTGCTAGCCTTCGGGAAGAAAATTCTTATTATTACAGTATCTGCTAAGTTAAAAATACCTTTTTCTAGTAATTTCAAAATATAATTATTTTGTAGATACTGAATATAAGGTAAGCATATATAAACCCTGAACTATTCACATGTATTTTAAGTGCGCAAAAATGTTCCTACTAAAAGTAGAATGTGAATAAGTGTTTTCTGCACTAAGAAAATATACCCTTTTTAGAAGCACAAATTGTATTTTCTTCTAATATAAATAATAATTGAAGTTACCTGGTATAGAACACTGCACCTAAAGGTTGGAAAAGGTTGCCATGATGGAAGAAGCACCTCACTAGGATTAAGAAGACTAGAAATTTTCCACTACAAGAGGACAGACAGAATTAACCACACCAACAAAATTACAATTAAAATACGTTAAACTGTAACTGTTAAGTTCAGGAAAATTGTCCACAAAAGTGATGAAACCGCTAAAACAATTTTACAGTGTTAAAAAATGCAATTTGTTCACATTTGACCAAAAGCCAAATGTTAATTCCATTCTGTGAAAATAGATGATACTACTTGTTCCATAATAAATCCTCTCAAAAAATTTTTCTTCCGGCACACATTTTCCTAAAGTACTGTCTATTATCACTGGTAGTAAACTGAGAAAAAAAAAAGACATAACAAAACTTGAAGTGGTTGGCCACAAAAGTGGCCTCTGCAGCCAATTCAACAAGCAAAGTATTGTGTCACTGGGACACTATAGATCAGTGTTCAACATGTCATAAAATCAATGTAGTAGCTTGGAGATTATTCCTAAAAGAAGACAAACAAGAAGTGAGGTAAGAGAACAGAAGAGAGACGAATGCATCGAATGCATTAAGGACAAGAAACTTTTGTCTCCAACATATTGGCTCCCAGTGTAAAACATATCACTAATCCAAAAATTCTGAAAAACTGTGGTGTACGCACTTATTCTCCTACTTAAAACCACCACACTGACCAGTCAGTTGTGCAGACAACACAGCAATGAAAAATGAAAAATCTAATCAAATCCCAGAACAACCACTTACTAGACATGTGAAGTTGGGTTACTTCTATAAGCCTAGATTTCTCATCTCTAAATAGAGGTTAATGGCGCCAACCAAACACCGTTCTTATGAGTATTTGAGACAATATATGTAAAATGTTTTGCACTTCATAAATGCTCAATAACAGTAGCTATATGTATTGAGTTTCTTGGTGATGTAGAACAGGTAGATTTTCCAGTACTATATAAAAATGTAAACTCGGCCGGGCGCGGTGGCTCAAGCCTGTAATCCCAGCACTTTGGGATGCCGAGGCGGGTGGATCACGAGGTCAAGTGATCGAGACCATCCTGGTCAACATGGTGAAACCCCCTCTCTACTAAAAATACAAAAAATTAGCTGGGCATGGTGGCGCGTGCCTGTAATCCCAGCTACTCAGGAGGCTGAGGCAGGAGAATTGCCTGAACCCAGGAGGCGGAGGCTGCGGTGAGCCGAGATCGTGCCATTGCACTCCAGCCTGGGTAACATAAGTGAAACTCCCTCTCAAAAAAAAAAAAAAAAAAAAAAAGTAAACTCATTTGCTGATGAGGATTTCAATCTCTTTTAAAAAACAAAACTATGTAAACCTATGGGAGAAAAAACAGAAATGCTTTTGGCATCTTTCCAGGAATTACTAAATTTAAAGTTTAAATTGTTAAAACATTCTCCTAATTACGCAACGAATACAAAGAACCTTGAATTAGTCTGGAAAACACTATATTCACCGACACTGCTGTCTTTTCATCTAAATTAGTAAGTCTCATTTCTAAAGCTCATTACTGTTCTTGTAACGACAAAATCTCAGATTTTTCCTCTCGATTATCAATAATAACGAAACCACACTTATTAAAACTCACAGATATATCTCCTCATTCTAAAGGCTGTATGTTATCTTTGGGCAGGCATTATTATAACAGCAAACAGATAAATGCCACCAAAAAGATATACATCAGAGTATGCCAAAAGCGGGAGTAATCAACCTATTCAACCACAAATGATTCACCTCATTCTTCTGCGAACTCATCTACTGCATAAACAGTCCTTAAAAAGTGCAATGTGACTAGCAGTTATTTCATTTCTATTCAATGACAAAAGGTACTTGCTTCTGCATTTTTAAAAGGCTTCCTGCATTTTAAGAATCCTTTCCTGAATAAAACAGTATTTCCTCCCCCTACCCCCAACCTTTTTCCATTCTGAAAGTTAACATGCTTTCAAATAAGCGAATTCAACTCAGAAACTGCAGCGGTCAACCCGAACCCGCTGGCGTACCAGACCTCGCTTTCCGGGTAACATACCTGTTCTCTCGAAATGCAAGGCAACGAAGGTCTCCTGAAAATTTTGCAACCGCCATAGTGACTGGCTGCAGTTTCTCCTAGCGACACACAGCTGGACCTCCTCCGGGGTCGGATCACAGGCACTTTTTCTTCGGCGGCACTGGACAGCCGAGGATGAAGCGGCGCTTCCCTGATTTGAAAGAAGTGATCCAACCCCAGGGCCAGCAGGCAGCCAGCACCCCCCACCAGGCCGGAGAGCAGCGGCCTGAGGGCGGAGGGCAGCGACCCGAGGCTGGTGAAGGAGACCCACCAGACGAAGCTGGCCAGCAGCAGCACCAGGATGCCGTGCCGGAGCCGCAGCGGGTGTGCGAGCGTCAGCAGCAGCCCCACGCAGCTCAGCACCAGCAGCAACCTGCCCGCCGCCGCCTCTGGGGGCGTGTGCAGGACCGAGGACCCTGCGTCGCCTTCCCCCCAAGGCCAAGACCACCACTGCCACACCACGAAGTCCCCCAGGTAACAGCAGGCGGGCAGCGCCAGCAGCCACCACCAGCCGCCGAGCCGGCCCGGGCCGGGTCCCCGCTTGGTCCGGGTCAGGAAGCAGGTAAGGAAAAAGAAGGCACAGGCGATGCTGAAGAGGGGGCTGAGGCTGTGCGAACACACGCTCAGCAGCGTCCGCAGCCAGGCGGCCCCGGCAGCCCAGCTCTCGGGTTCGGCGCCCAGCAGCAGGGCGAGGACAAAGGCGGCCAGGGCGCCCAGCGAGAGGCGCGCCCGGCCGAAGGGGGAGCCGCGCCGCGGCTGCTGGGGGGAGGCCGGCGGCGGCCGCAGCTCCACGTTGCAGAAGCGGCAGAGGTGGAAGAAGAAGCCGCGCGGAGGGTCCTGCCGCAAGGGGCTCACGCAGCTCTTCACGTAGCCGTTCCTCAGACTCTCGAGGGGCGAGCCAGCCCCATCCGGCGGCTGCGGGGACCGCATGGCTTTGGCGTCTCTCTCGTCCCTCCTCATGGCCGGGGCCGGGGGTGGTCACGGGGTTCAGCACACCCCGTTCGTACCGTAGCGGCCGCTCGCGTTCCCAGACCCCAGCCCCAGCGTCCGGGGCGCCCCCGACTCACAACGCGTCAGGGCTGCGCCCGCCGCCTCGGCCCGGAATCCCCGCCGCGCGGACTGGGTAGCGGCGGATTCCGGGACATACTGGCTGAAGAGAGGGACGGAAGGGGCTTCTCTCCGGGACCCGTTGTGCTGCCGCGTCCTTTTCCCTCGGGCACCTCTCCGGACTGGAGACTCGGTGTCGCCTCCCAGCTCCGCTGGCTGCAACAGTTACCTCACTGCCCCAGCCTGGTCCGTTGGGCGCGCAAGCGGCGGGCGGGCGCTCCTCCCCCGTGTCTGTCGCGGCCGGGCGCGCGCCCAGGGCGCGCTCGCGCCTTGTCCCGCCGCCACCCGCGCCGCGGCGCCCAACAGGGACTTGAGCCCGGGACCCTGCCGACCCTGTGTGCCCAGGCGGTGGAGAGCGGGGCGGCAGCAGTCCGAAGACAGGCCGGGACTGAGAGCAAAGGAAGAGGTCTTCCTGGAAAGGGAGGGGCAAGCCCGCCATCCTGGGACCCCAGGCGTGCAGGTTCCCTTTGAGGGTAAGTCAGACACCCAGCCAGACTCCCAAAGGTCACTACTGGGGTCTTCTGGAAAGGGCGTTTGTGGTCCCCAAGGGGTGTGCTTAGTGAGGATGCCAAGCTAAGGGTGGAAGGGGAAGGGAGGTGTCTCTAACCTCAGTCCCATTCAGGGTGGGTCCTCAGACTGACCAGATGAGGGCCAGCCACCACCGAGGCTATGGCGAAGAAACCCTGATCACTGTGGCTAGACCTGGCCTCAAAAGCAGCGTGGATTCTTGGGCCACGCAGCAGGCCCAGGATCTTTGCAGTGGTTCTTAGGAAGGAGCATGCACGTGGAGTGCACTCTGGGAATGTTGCTCAAGATCCATCCATCTTCACAGGCGAGGAACTGACGTCTCGTCTTCCACTTTGCACCCTTGCTATACATACCTACTGGTTCACGTCTTGTATCCCCTTCCACATAGCACAGATTTGCTGTCGCAAGCGGTCTGTCCAAATTGAAGGCCTTTTCACTGTAACAGCATGTTCTAGATGGAGGAGTGGGGAGAACTAGGAATCCTCTCCAAGACCACTCCCCAGTTTGGATCAGCTGGCCTTGAAAGAAGCCAAATAAGATGCTATCTGTGAAGTACTGGTGAAACTAGCAACATTAGGAAACAAGGACTTGAAAGTGAGAAGAAAAGAACTTTGCTACACCAAAGGGACTGCTCTGGAATCTAACCAATCGTAACTGCCTTAGAGAGTGAACTGTGCCTCCCTCCCGAAGCTCTCGTTTCAACCTCATGACCGGACTGCATTTCTCAAAGAGCTAATTCCACATTTTTCCAGGGAGATGAGAAACCTTACTGTGTGGGAAATCCCACAAACAGGCCCATTTTTCACCAATTAATCTCTGCCCACAGCCATGACCTAAAACAGACCATTTTCGTGTATGATTATAGTTCACATGCATAGCAAAAGTCACTGAGAAATGTAGCGCAAGAATTTGACCAAAATGAAAACGTTCCAGAATTCCCTTTCCTTTGCTTTTTCTTTTCTGATTGATTACCCAAATGCTTGTCCTAAAAGATAAAAATTCATAAGGTCTTTTTATCCCCATGACAATTGAAAGGAAAAAAAAGTGCTCATTTCAGCAAAACTCAGCAAACGCATTTTTATATGATGTGCATAGAACTCATTACCACCAGTTAAAGACTAAAGTAAAAAACAATGGATACATTTTGAGCTTGTATAGAAGGGCATAACAAAACTAGCAGCAGCATTATTGAAATTCCCATTATAAATTCCATAGGAAATAATAAATTGATTTGAAAATTAGAACAAATTCAGATTAAAAAGTGTGTGTGTATATGTATGTATATATGTAGTTGTGCGTGTGTGTGCATTTAATCTGAAGTTGTCATCTAAAGTAGGATTGGCATGGTCATGGAAACAGTAGGAGAGTAGAATCCAGCTTTGTGAGTTTTTGTCTGGGTCTAGCCATTCATACCCTGACATTAAACAGTCCTGTAACTTTTACTGGCCTTGTTCTTCTCAAATGTGAAATGAAGCAATCTAACTTAGATAACCTTTGAAATCCCTTCTAGTCTCAAAAAGCTCTCGTTTCTGTATGCCAAAAATATATAGGCATTCTTAAGACTCACCTTTCAGGTTGCCAAAAGCAATCTTTTATATTATTATACTGCCAAACTAAACCAAACCCTCAGTGTTGACAAGTAAAAATAAAGGGATTGTATCAAAAGACTGTTTTCTGAAAAATAAAATCCAAAGGCCTCTTCACAAAATTGTCTGACTTCCCAATTCTTTAGCCTTCTTTTAGCTGTTATTTAGGTTTTTATAAGGCTAACACCCCAACTCTTTCAATAACCCATAGTCAGAGTGCATCCGTCTGAAGGCCAACCCAGCACCTGACAGAATTCTAAAATAAAATGTAAGGACGTGACCAAAGACCATCAGAAGTTTACTTAACTAAAAATATGCACAAAAAGAATGAGCTAGCTATGTTTATAGCAACTCCCTTCTCTGTTTACAGTCTTTGTCAACGATTATTACTAGGCTGCATTTCTTAGAGGTCAAATTATTTAATTATTCCCTTGCCAAACTTAAACAACCAATAAAATTACTTAGTTCTTTAGGTTCAAGAATTTATGACCATTACTGTCATGAAAAAATCCTAAAGTCACAGTATGCCTTTGACTTCTCTCAGTGCTCTACCCCAGCCTCATTTTACCTGACTGCCTTCCCTCACGTCTTGACCCATGATATCCCCACTTCTTAGTGCATCTTTCCACTCTCCTGGTTTACCATGACATGGGATCCTGGGCCTTACCACCCAGCTCTCAAGTAATTTTAAGATAATGCAAGCCCCTGTGTATTTCTTTTTTTCTAATTTCTCAGGATAAAGTGATCTGACAAATTTTAAATATCAAAGAAACTCAGAAATAGCCAGTTAATTAACCAGTATCATTGAGATTCCAAATTGATAAAACTAGAGTAATCCCTGAAGATATATGCAAAACCTTATAAGGTTTTTCAAATAATTAAATAATTCACATTTACAGCCTTATATTTAAAAAAAAAAAAATGCTAGACAAGCTTTTCTCTAGCATAGAAAGGATCATTGTTTTCCTGGTGCAATGGCAACTCTGTTGCCCAAGTATGTTAACAATACCTATGTTCCTTCCAGCTAATACTCATCTCAGAATCTGAGCCTCGTTTTGATTCACTCTTTTAGTTCCTTTCAACAAGTGGCTGTTTAGTGCCCACTATATGCAGAGCTTTGTGCTAAATTCTATTTGGAACATTTTTTTAAATTATATCAGTTGCTTTAGAACTTTCTTGGAGCTGCAGCTTTATCTGGGAGATAGAGTGTATGCCCATAGACTATTAAATAGCACAAAAGAATAAATATCTGATTAAGAACTGTTGAGAACAATGTGTTAGGACAATTAAAAAAGAAAGTCATTTTATTCTAGAGTGCCCCCACTGTGTGGTTGTCTCAGTTTGTTCTCACAGTTTATTTCTCATTCTTCTAGTTCCATTTCTCTCTCTTACAGTATTCTTTATCTCCCCAGCATCTGTCCAAATGGCTGTCTTCTAATCTCTCTCCTCTTTCCCCTGACCTCTCTTTCATCTCTGTAATTTCCTAACTTCTTTTACTTCTTCAGTTCTCCTAAGTACCAACCCCCCTCCACCAGCATTTAATCTATGTCCGTTAATGAATGCATTCATTCATTCAGTATTTATTATGTGCCTGGTGTTGTGCTGGACAGTGTGCTAGATGACAAAGATATAATGGTGAAGGTGTGCTTCCTTAGTCTAATGAAAGCTAGACAGGAGCTTTTTTGTAACAGGAGCTGTGACATTGAGGGAATAAGCCTCAGTGTACTCTGGGAGCTCAGGAACCCAATCTACAGTAGGAGTAGTAGGTAAGGAGTAATGCTCTGGGGGACTCAGAGAAAGTGATTTCTAGGCTTGATATTAAAAGGTGAATAGAAGTTACCTAAGTAAAGTAAGGAGAAAAGATAATCTGGGCAAAGGAAGGAAACAGTGCAAAACTCTGGAGGAATGCAACTGTAGTGCATTTGGATAACTCAAGTATCCCATGGCTTAAGTGTAAGGAATGAGGGGGCTACAGAGATGGTGTTGCCCTACTAATGGAATGGGAATTTGTTACATAAAGGTTAATGTTCTGCTATCATATTTGTTTATTTATATGGCTACCTCTGCAATATATTCTTCAAACAAGAATTGTCTTACTCAATCTTAGCTCAATCTTCATGCCTAACACAGTATTTAGCCTACAGCAAGTTCTCAGAATTTTTCAAGTGTGTTTATATCTCTCAAAACTATTTTAATCAGATTTTAACTGTATTTCCTTTGATTTTTTTGGCTTTATTAGTCAATGAATTTTAATAGAAAACTTCGAATATAATAGAAAAAAGTTTTCATATTATCAAAAAAATTTTTCTTAACATTCATTTGTACCAAATTACTAAAAGAACCCTTTTTCTCAGATTTACAAAAAAAAATTATACATGTCTTTATGTTGTATATCATTTTCAACATAAAATAAATGTTTCAGAGGTGTGTGGGTCATTTTTTATTTTAACTCAAGTGACGATACCTGGATTCTTTTACTATGAAAGCATATATTCTAGTACTTTAAGAATTTTCCTCTTTCTGTTTCAAGTTTTCACAGCAACAGTTGTATCTCTGACACAAATTTACTATTATAATTTTAAAATATAACAATTGGTAAAAGTATTAAATCTATAACTATTAGCCTGAAACGTCCTGGATTTTTTGTTCTAAATCTAAAACCTGAACCTTGAACAATAAACAGCAATGCAGACTCTTTCCAAGCTTTCTTGTTCCCTCCCTAGACAAGCAGGAGTTTCTTCACCTCTGGCTATCCCAGCAGATCTGAAGGATCACAGCCACGACGGTGGCAGCCTACCGTTGACACTGAACTTGTGGTTAATTGTGGAGTTCTGCCACAAAACCACCTCACTACCACAAACTGGATACTTGCCCAGGAAAGTGACAAACTGCCAGGCCAAGCAATCTACAGGAGGCAGCAAAAGCAAACTGCCTTTTTCCCCAGAAAGCAGTCATTTCTGGATTCCAAATGGAGCCAACCAGCGGAGCACACCAACAACAACAAAAAAAAAATTTAGAAGTATGCTTTCTCTATTTAAGCCTACTTAAAATGTACTCAGGCAGTTTTGCAAGAGAAGCTCAAAAGGATTCA